CCTACTGTCGTCTCCCATCCCTTAGGACTATTTATGTGCTAGGTGTTGGCTTCAATATTCCTTTGCTTCTTACAGCCAGTTCCTGTGTCTCTTTTTTGGAGGACTCCCCCCAAGCTTGTAGAGTTCCTTTGCCCCCAGACAAGAGTGTTTGGGGGGTTATGACCTCCCTTGAGGACGCCTAACCAATGACTAAAGACTAAACAGGAACATGAAAGTCTGGGGCAAGTTTATACAGTCCTGAGACATAATCTGCACTCTGGAGCTGCCCTTGGAATCACACTGAGGCTGCCCTCTGGAGAGCTTTTGCTCTAGGTAGCATCCTTGCTTAACTTCTCTGGAGAACACCTCCTCAGTAAGTATTCTGCCTCTGGGCAAGTTAAGATGCGAGCTGCTTTCCCCCATCCCCAGTTTTGGATTATAACCATTGGTAAAACGTGATTGTTTTTGTTGATTTAAAATGGGATTAGATGAAGTATTTCAGAGTATTCCCAACTTCTCGAAGTTTTCTTCCGAATAGTTTCCGTTTTAACAGCCATCAAGTGGAAAGGATTTTGTTTTTTATCTGAAGGCAATTGTCTGTTTCTACTGATTCCTGTGGACTTGTTTACTGTTTAAGTGAAGCATTCCCAGAGAGTTATCTATTCTCACTCTTCCAGCTCACAGAGTAGACATTAATCTTAAACTGATAGAACTATTAGATGATTATTTCCTGTTCACACATTGGGTCAATCAAATTATGCAGATTAAACAGGGGAATAAGATGGGGTATTTAGCAGGGTATGATCTGGCTAGATATGCTCTCCTTCTGGCAGAAGCTTTTCTACACATTTTCATATGCTAATCCTTGTGGCTTTCATTTCCTACTTCTAACACAGTCTGTAGCTATGGTTTGCACAGGAATTGGAGGCCAGCAGGCCAATGTGTCTATGTGGAATTTTCCCTCTGTCCTTGAGGGAAAAGTAAAATCAGATTCTATTAATTTTGACTGGATTTCCATTTATTTTAGAACCTTGGGGGCATTTTAATATCCATATATAAGAAGCACTTGGATCTTTTGCTTTTAATAATTATTTGTAGATCACCTGTGTCATCCCTTCTTCCCTTCCTCCATCCTTCTCGTCCTCCCTCCTTCCCTTCCTTCTTCTTTCTTTCTGTTATAGAAAAGTGAAAGTGAAATCAATCTCTGAGTACATCACAAAACATAGTTTGAAGTCATTAAGTGGATTTTTACTTGCTTGTGGGAGAATCATATGCCTGTGATAGCCTGCTTTACCTTTAACAGTTTTCAGGCTGAGATTGGACATAGTAAATGTTCAGTAAATATTTCTTGATTGTATGAATCCCTGGTGTTATGTCCTAAGCACAGTCCTAAAATACTATTTTTGTGCTTTTCTTGATGATCTTCTGTGAAGAGAGCCTTGGTCCCCAACTGATAATTCCAGCTCAACTCTTTGTCATAAATATGACTACTCTACTGGAAAAATAATTTTTTAATCCTTACATAAACTTTGTTCATTTCACAAAATAAAGTTTCACTCCATTCTGTTGCAGTGAAACACCTATTGGCACATTCCTTTTACCTTTAAATATCTCTGAAACACTTGGAATTGACCTTCGATTTCACAATACTTTGAGGCATGCAATTATAAGACAATAATACATGCTTTCTCATGCCTGAAAATAACTCTGAAGTCAAGCTGTGACATTAAAGCACAGTTGGAAAATTTTATATCCAATCAAATTAAACCAATAGCATATTTAATTTTGTATTTGCTATGTAACTGAAAGTAAGGCTGTCTTCAGCTTTTTATTTGTTTATTTTTAGTCTGGAAATTAAAACAATTGAATCAAATTGATTAAGGAAAAAAAGACAAATAAATAGTTTTCTGTTCAATGGTTAAGTAATCTGCCTTATCTCTTACTTAGCTTTTGAGTGGGAGTGGGAAATAGTATTAAAATTTACCCTAGGAAGGGTGGCCATGATGACTACAAAGCTTATCTAGAAGATTGAAATGCCTATTGGGTTGTATTCCCAGGCTGGCCAGATTAACTGTCCAGATTGTTTGAAAACAAACTTCAGCTGAGTAAATTTTAAAGATCTTATTGACTTTATTCAGTGATTCATGAATTAGACAACATCCATTCTAGCAGATAGGAAGGAACTCTGAGGAGCTTCATAGGCAGAAAGGAGCAGGAACAAGGAAGTAATGCTAGTCAAAAAGTAGACTATTGCAAGATTACTTTTCCCTAAAGGGTAACATGGGTTTATCAGGCAGATTATTTAACTAATGCTGATCTGATCATTCCTGCTTGGCTTGTTTAAGTGTTCATATCTGGGAGGGCTAAAAATGTACTTAGATTTGGTTACCTGGGGATTAGCATAAGTGACTCCATTTTGGGCCTGTTGGCTCGTTTTTGACAGAGGGGTTGAGTGAGTGTAGGGGCTGTGCAAGACTGGCCCAATTCTTGCTGAAGAACTTGTGACTGCCATTGACCCACCTGGGGATCAAGTGGCAGTTTGGAAGCTTTAGGAATTCTGGAGATCCAGTGAAGTTTTGTGTTTACCTTTGACACTGTAATGCTATTGACAGGTGGGTGGGGCTTTCTTTGGGCTCTTAGGCAGATGACCCATGATGAGGGAGGAACCCCTGGAATTAGAAGTATATAGTTAAGGATTCTTGTCGAGAAGACAAGTAAGAGGGCATAAAGGCATTAGTTGGGCTCCAGATATTTGCTTATAGATATATATTTTGGAAAACCCCAATGGGGGCACTTTTCCTGACAAGAAGAATAGTATGTTTGTTGGAACAATTGGTCAGAATATTTGAAAACAAGGGTGACTCAGAGAACAGAAACTCTGGGGCTACTATACCTTTAAACTGTGTCCTAAATGTATCTGAAGGCCTTTGAATGATAAATCATAAATGCTACTCATTTTTTTTTTAAAGATTTTCTTATTTATTTTGGAAAAGGGAGAAGGGGCAGAAGAAAAAGGGGAGAGGGAATCTCAAGCAGACTCCCCACTGAGGACAGAGCCCAATGCGGGGCTCGATCCCAAGACCTGAGCTGATACCTAGTCAGACATTCAACCAACTAAACCACCCATATGTCCCGAAATGCTACTCATGTTAAGCTTTTTTTTCCATTTTTTTAAATTAACATATAATATATTATTAGCCCCAGGGGTACAGGTCTGTGAATTGCCAGGTTTACACACTTCACAGCACTCACCATAGCACATACCCTCCCCAATGTCCCTAACCCAACCACCCTCTCCCTCCCTCCCATCCCCCCAGCAACCCTCAGTTTGTTTTGTGAGATTAAGAGTCTCTTATGGTTTGTCTCCCTCCTGATCCCATCTTGTTTCATTTATTCTTTTCCTATCCCACAAAGCCCCCCATGTTGCTTCTCGACTTCCTCATATCAGGGAGATCATAATATAGTTGTCTTTTTCTGATTGACTTATTTCGTTAAGCATAATACCCTCTAGTTCCATCCATGTCATCGCAAATGGCAAGATTTCATTTCTTTTGATGGCTGCATAGTATTCTATCGTATATATATACCACCTCTTCTTTATCCGTTCATCTGTTGATGGACATCTAGGTTCTTTCCATAGTTTGGCTATTGTGGACCTTGCTGCTATAAACATTCAGGTGCACGTGCCCCTTCGGATCACTACATTTTTATCTTTAGGGTAAATACCCAGTTGTGCAATTGCTGGGTTGTAGGGTAGCTCTATTTCCAACTTTTTGAGGAACCTCCATGCTGTTTTCCAGAGTGGTTGCAACAGCTTGCATTCCCACCAACAGTGTAGGAGGGTTCCCCTTTCTCTGCAACTTCGCCAGCATCTGTCATTTCCCGACTTGTTAATTTTAGCCATTCTGACTGGTGTGAGGTGGTATCTCACTGTGGTTTTAATTTGTATTTTCCTGATGCCGAGTGATGTGGAACACTTTTTCATGTGTCTGTTGGCCACCTGGATGTCTTCTTTGCAGAAATGTCTGTTCATGTCCTCTGCCCATTTCTTGATTGGGTTATTTGTTCTTTGGGTGTTCGGTTTGATAAGTTCTTTATAAATTTTGGATACTAGCCCTTTATCTGATATGTCGTTTGCAAATCTCTTATCCCATTCTGTCAGTTGTCTTTCGGTTTTGTTAACTATTTCCTTTGCTGTGCAAAAGCTTTTGATCTTGATGAAGTCCCAATAGTTCATTTTTTCCCTTGCTTCCTTCCCTTGCCTTTGGCGATGTTCTAGGAAGAAATTGCTATTGCTGAGGTCGAAGAGATTGCTGCCTGTGTTCTTCTCAGGATTTTGATGGATTCCTTTCTCACATTGAGGTCCTTCATCCATTTTGAGTCTATTTTTGTGTGTGGTGTAAGGAAATGGTCCAGTTTCATTTTTCTGCCTGTGGCTGTTCAATTTTCCCAACACCATTTGTTGAAGAGACTGTCTTTATTCCATTGGACATTCTTTCCTGCTTTGTTGAAGATTGGTTGACCATAGAGTTGAGGGTCTATTTCTGGGCTCTCTATTCCATTCCATTGATCTATGTGTCTGTTTTTCTTCCAGTACCGTACTGTCTTGATGAAGACAGCTTTGTAATAGAGCTTGAAGTCTGGAATTGTGATGCCACCAACTTTGGCTTTCTTTTTCAATATTCCTCTGGCTATTTGAGGTCTTTTCTGGTCCCATATAAATTTTAGGATTATTTTTTTCTTTGAAAAAAATGGATGGGGTTTTGATAGGGATTGCATTAAATGTGTAGATTGCTTTAGGTAGCATAGACATTTTCACAATATTTGTTCTTCCAATCTCATGTTAACATTTTTTTGTTGTTGTATTATAAATGAATGTTAGCTTTTGCATATTTAAATAAGTACTATAAAGTGACTTTTGACCTGAGAATATTCTGGAACACACAACCCAACTAAAGTTTTCCCCTCTGGTTTATTTTGAAAGGCATGCAATGTTAATTCTGGGGCATTGATGTTTTACAATGCCTGATCAAGATAAAAAGGTGAAGACCACAGAAAAATCAACTGATAAAAAACAGCAAGGAATCACCACCAGGTAACCCCTTCCTGATAATTAGTATCTCTGACAGTGGCCAGCAACAAGATTTAATGGCTTTTTGAGAAATAGAGTAGACCCTTGACAATGGTTACTCTGGGTTATGGTGTTTACTGAAATGTTTGATTATTTCTAGAGTTCTAAAGGAAATGCTTAGTGTGTGTAGGTTTCCATCTATGAAACAAGCCTCAAAGGGGCAGTGCCATCAGGGGGTTGACTAGTTCTCTGGGAATCTTCAGTCGGTTGACATTGTGTTCTTTCTTCTAGGGACTATTCAGATCTTAAAAGACTTCGTTGCCTTTTGAACGTCCAGTCAAGCAAACAACAGGTAGTGTTTTCAAAGACTGTGCATGCATTAATAAAAGAGAACTCACATGTTTCCAAAGGGATTGATTTAACATTTTTATGAACAATAATATACCTGCGTTTCTTAGTTGTTAAGTATGTCTTGTTTCTCTTCATGTGGCTGTTTCTCTCATACTTGGTTTAGGTTCTGCCAAGACTCAGGGTCTATAGCCTTTTTGTTCTCTTCTCATGGCTGGGCCCTGCTCTATTTTCTGCTTATTGCCATGTGTCCTAATTACCAAAGCCCTTCAGTCTAGAAACAGTGTACTGTTCTATTGAATGCCCAGTGTTTGACTCTTTGGAGCTTTAGGGAATTTGATTTTTCTCCCAAACACTAATTACTGAGTTTCCTTTCTTCTCCCCTCCACTCCTCTTCATGCTGTCCTGTTCCTACAGTACTGCTCTTGATGCTTGCTGCACATTTTATCTCATGAAAAGACTGGAAATGGATGAATTTGGCTATTTTTATGATAGCATTTTTATATTTTTATTACATGGGCAAAAGAATTGCACCTCTGCTTGAAATTATCTTTACACTTTTCTTTTTGGTTTTACTTCTGTAAGACTTGGGAGACTCCTGAGATTCGAGGCCATCCATGAGGATTTGGGGAACAGCACAGCAAGCGCTAATTCTAGTGTTAACAGCAGACAGTCAGCACCATTAACTGGTAATGATAGGGATGCTTCTTGACTGCAGTGACCTGGCACCAAAGTCTACTGTGCTATCCTTGTCTTAGTAAATTTTTTTTAAAGATTTTATTTATTTATTTGACAGACAGAGATCACAAGCAGCAGAGAGGCAGGCAGAGAGAGAGGGGAAAGCAGGATCCCCGCCGAGCAGAGAGCCCGATGCAGGGCTCGATCCCTGGGATCATGACCTGAGCGAAGGCAGAGCTTTAACCCACTGAGCCACCCTGGTGCCCCACATTTAAGTAAATTTGTTTAAGAGCTCAAATTGTGGGAATCCTTATAGATTTTGTTATATCCATCAAACTAACTGAGAACTACATTTTTGTCTATTTATTTATAGTCAAGGATGACTTCCTAATGATTTGATGGCACATAAAGGCCAAATAATGTAGTTTTATTTTGGGAACATTTACTATGTGTCTGGTGTATCAGACACATAGTAACCACATCTCCCACTTTTATAGATTAGGAAAATGAGGCACAGGGAATTAAGAGACTTTCTCAAAATCATAGAGCCAGCTGATGGTTAATACAGATCTGAACCCAAACACTGCCTCTTTGCAGTATATGCCTCTAGCCCCTGAGATACCTTTTAAATGATCTAGGAAATTAAATTCCAGTTAAAAAAAAAATAGTTGGATAATCCTTGATTCAGAGTAAACAGGGGCATAAAATATCTTTTCACCTATCAATCCTTCTTCTCTGTTATTCATACTATGGCCCTCAGGAACAATTTCTTCCCATCCAGCTGTGTCAGCAATCACCTTGCTCTTTGTCTATCACTACGCTGCTAAAAAAAAAAACTCCCTGGCTTGCTGCTCACAAGCCTTCATGGACAATTACCCCCAAATCACATCCATTCTTTCTTAGAAGGTAAGCAAGGTAACTCACATAGGGTTTTGGTTGTAGTTCCCATTCTTTTTCATTGTACATCCTAAGATGTAACCATGATGTCAAAGACTTCTACCTTTTGCTTTTACTATTCCCTTCTCCCAAATTTCTTCCCTATAAAATCTCATTTATCTCTAAGACCCAAATCGAGTGACACCGCTTCCGGAAAAAAAGCCTTTCCTTTATTTTGCATTCTGGAAACAATCTTTCTGTTCCCAAAGCACTTTCTTTCACGGTTATAGCACTATGTTCTTTCTTGTTTTGGAAACGTTTATCTACATGTCTTATTTCTAGATGAGATTACGTATTTCTCAATGCCAGCAACTTTGACTTTGACTCTGCTTTACTATATCCTCAGTTTAGTTAGTTCTGGGTCACTTTTTGTCAAATTGGAATTACGGTTTAAGAATTGGGTTCTGGGGGGCGCCTGGGTGGCTCAGTGGGTTAAAGCCTCTGCTTTCGGCTCAGGTCATGATCTCAGGGTCCTGGGATCGAGCCCCACATCGGGCTCTCTGCTCAGCAGGGAGCCTGCTTTCTCCTCCCTCTCTCTGCCTGCCTCTCTGCCTACTTGTGATCTCTTTAAAAAAAAAAAAAGAATTGGGTTCTGGAGCACCTGGGTGGCTCAGTGGGTTAAGCCTCTGCCTTCAGCTCAGGTCATGATCCCAGAGTCCTGGGATTGAGCCCCGCATCCAGCTCCCTGCTCAGCAGGGAGCCTGCTTCTCCCTCTCCCACTCCCCCTGCTTGTGCTCTCTCTCTCTCTCTCTCAAATAAATAAATAAATCTTTAAGGAAAAAAAAAAAAAGGACTGGGTTCTGTCATGAGCATGGATAACTTCATGACCAGAGTAACAGAAACACCAATGGTGTTGTTATTGTTTTAAAGATTTATTTATTTACTTGAGAGAGAGAGAGAGAGAGCATATGTGAGTGGGGTGGGGGCCGAGAGAGAGGGAGAGATCCCAAACCGAATCTGATGTGGGGCTCCATCCCATGACCTGAGATCACGACCTCAGCTAAAATCAAGAGTCAGAAGTTTAACCGACTGAGCCACCCAGGTGCCCCTCTAATGGTAGTTTTTGCCTCTAATTTTCCAACTTTGAAGCTCATGCTGCTAGATCTATTGTGTCTCCTTTCAACACCACTTTCTTGTTAACACCTGGTGGAGTTAACTAAAGTGAATTTAATAGTTCCTCCTCCTTTAACCAATTTTAGAATTTGCAGTTTGTTGTCTGACAAGTTCACATGGCATAGCTTTTTGTAAAGTCTTTCACATGTATAAAAATGCATATTTGTAATGCTTGAATTATTCAGAAAGTAGGTGGTTCTAAGAAGAAATGAAAAGGTCCTCAATGATATGAAGATCCCAAGGCTCACAAAATTCATTCCTAATTCTATCTGCTAAACCTTAATTCATTTTTAATTTTGGAATAATAAATGTTATTCTGAACATCCTATTCTCCTTTTAGTAAAATAGTATGGAGAAGAATGATATTGGAAAGAATAAGTCAAGCATTTATTTATATCTTGCTTATTCCAGAAAGAATGTAAGGAGGTTTTTACAAAGATACACAAAGTATGACAGTTTATCATAAATTAAAACCAGGGCCAAAGAAGAAAGAAGAACAAGGGTAAGGGTTGGGGACAAAGTAGAGTGAGACACACAGAGATAGTCATCGAAATATGCAAGTGGGTCACACATTTGGCTCTGAGATTATTTAGCAGTCAATTTGAAAAGGGAAATTTGGGAGTAAGGCTCACTCACCTGAATTTCTGATCTAACAAGATCTGGCCTTTTATTTGCAAATGGACCCAAATGGCCAATTAATTGGTTGCAGAGGAAATTTACTTTGTGGTTTAGGCAGAGAACTGCAAAGAACTGTAATGTCCTTTATCTGAATCTCTAATGAGCCAAGCCACTTCTCTATTGTTTCCTTGTGTTCCGTGTTCTACTTTCATTCTTTGTCTTGACTGCTCTATCTCTGTGTGCGTTGTTTAACCACATTAGAGCTTGCCGTTCTGTAGGACAGTTCCAACAGTGGGACAGAACACGGAGGGGGCAGGGTTGGAGATTTCACCAGAGGTTTCCACAAATCTTGAAGTAAACTACCAAGAGCTGGAATTTGGATTTTTTCCTCTATATCCAAAGCCACAGGAAGCTGAGAAATTGGTTTGCAATAAGTAAAAAGGGTAGAAGAAAGAACAAATGAATTCATTATAGACCAATTACCTTAAAATAAAAGAGGTTTTGATAAATACTTAGGAAAGAAAAGGCATAAGGCACAGTTCCTGTGTTCTGAAGGATGGAGGTCTAGGAAAGGCAGTTGTAGCACATGACAAGGCAAGACAGTCCTGAAGGAATGGTACGGACAGTGGGCGTATGGATTTTGACAGGTATAAGGACTCCACTTTTAGCTCAAATCACAGGACGAAGATGGTCCTTGGAAAATAGGCCAGTTTTCCATCAGTGGAATTGGTGGAAAGGCATTATCAGTGAAGTGAGTAAAATAATCAGATATCTGATGAGAGGAAAATCACAAGCATTTAAGAAAAATGGTGGCTAAATGTTTCTATTAGAAGTAATCATACCTAGAGCTAGATGACATTGTGCAGTGTCTGAAGGCCCATCTACACATTCTGTGTTTGATTCTGTAAGCCATAGGGAGTGTTGACATTCGCAATCAGAAATGACACAAACACATTTTTAGGAAAGTCCTTTGCTTCAGTCTGTAGTCTCTTCACTTTCCACTATTACTATTCAGGCTGTTCAGGTACCTCTCATTTTCTAGAACACACACAGCTGTCCTCTGTCTTCCCACCCATAAACGTCTGTCTGGAATACTCTGAAATACTCTTGGCATCCTGGTCCGTGGCCCACCCTGTACTTCCTTCTACCACAACAAATCCTTGTTCACTCATCCTGCAGCCTGTTCTCATGCTGGTTTTCCCCTCCCCCACTCCATGGGACTCTGAACTCCTTGAAAGCAGAGGCCATGGCTGTCCTGCTTCCTGTATGCCCAGTGCCTCATCACACTGCTGACAAATGATGTGTCTGGAACAGAAGTGTGGAACGGATGGATGCATCTAGAAAGTGGCGAACAATGAATCCGTTTAGCAAAGAGACAGGGGATAAAGTAAGCGTTCATTCAACAGTTTCACCTTTGAATATATACTGTGTGCCAGGCTCTGAGAGGTGCTAAGGTCACAAAGACAGACAGGATGCTGCCCTCAGGGTGGCCATATTCAAAGGGAAGAGGCTGATCTGTAAACTTGGAGTTGTATCAGGTGTGGTAAGTGCTATGAGAGAGGTTAGTGGAGAAATGCTGCCAGGGTGGGAGTGAACCGCTCTGCCAGGAAGGGGCAGGTCCTCACCAGGAGGCTGTTAGAGCTGAGTCCTGAAACGTGATCAGTCTGCAACACACGCCCAGGCGTGGAGTGGTCAAACACTAAGGTGGTTTCTGGGACAAATGACCGATTCGATGCAGCCAGAACTTGGGGTACAGTTTTATATTTGACCGACCTGTTTGGCTTACTTGGGTATTTATTTATGTTATATGGACTTGTGGATTCTTATTTTAGTCCATGGTAGATTTATTATCAAATACTGGTTAGAGAATCATTCTAAAACTTAGTGGTTTAAAGCAACAATGATCATTTACTCTCTCACCCATTTTGTGGGTCATGAATTGAGGGCAGTTTACCTGGATAGTTCTCGTTGAGGTTCCAATGGGGTTGCTGATGGGGTTACTGGGGCTGGCAAGTAGGCGCTGTTTGTGGGTGAGAGGCCTCTCCACAGGGTTGTTTGTCCTCACAGCATAGAGTCTGGGGATTCCCCCAGAAATCCCTCTACACATTTAAAGAAACAATTGAGTCTTTTCAAATATTGTGCAAAGAGATGACACTGGACCAGAAGATAGGAACAGAACACAGTGAGATTTTCTCACTGGGCAAGGTGGAATAGTGAAAAGCAAGAGGACTGACTCAGGACAGTGTTTCTCATCACTAGAGATACATACACAGATGGTGGAGGTCTGAGCATGTTGGAGAGGGAGACAGGTTGCTAGGATTTGAATACAAACTCTGTCCCTTGCTAGCCCTGTGACCCTTAGGCAAGTCACTTAGCCCCTCTCTGCCTTAGTTTTTCTCATCTATAAAATGGTATTCATCTCATAGGTTTGTTAGGAGCATTAAATATATTTAATACTTGCAAAGCACTTAGAACAGTGCCTCGTGTGCAGTAAACTCCATGTAAGTATTGTCCATGCTGATGGTGGTCATGAGGACAAATGATTGAGTCCTGTGCCTTCTGAATAGGTTTCAAATCCAAGAGCCTGTAAGTCCATCACTTGTGAGAAAGGACAGGACACACTTTAAAGTGATCTATGTCAATTTGTGTTATGATATATTTATTATGTCTGAAGTTTCAGATGTTGGGTTGCCCAGAACAATCTGTCAAATGTAGTATGCTTTAAAAGAGCTAATGGCTTAACATGAAGAAATATGTAAGGGGGAGCTCACGTGGATACCCTGATTGTGATGATACCAGGTTGGTGAACGGTATCATACAGATTTCACTGGACCTCCTGCAGTAGATGATGACAAATATGGAGACCAATTGGGGAGGCAAGGGAGAAAGCTGTGGATTGGACTCTGAACTCACATTGTTTTCATCTGAAGAGGGCTGGTTGCTTCAAGTTTCCTTCTAATAAGTTCATGGTCTTTGCAGCTATAGCTGCCAAGTCCATCTTATCAACTGAGTCTCCATGAGTTGATTCCCAATGTTGGCTGCCTATTCTGCCAGCAAAGAGGACGGCTGCAAGCTGTGGCATCTTCCCACCCCTCTTCCCTGAGTGGACTGGGCTATTTTTCTCTGTGCTGGCTACCTTCCCTCTTGTGATCAGTATTGTGGGAGTTGTGGGAATGGCAGGTGGTTTGAAAAACCTTGGACCTGGAAAATCCACTTCCTGTTTGCTACATAGTGATGTTTCCTGTGTAACCCTGGAACATTTGCTCATTGCTGTGACTTCATGGCCAGTATCATTGAGGTTATCACACCCAGGGGTCATCTAATTTGTAAGGACACATTTTATTTGGTTAGCAAATTTATCTGCATGATGAGAATAATCATGAGGATTATTAGAATATTTGTAAAGCACTTGGAAACTATGCCATGCATATAACTAGTGCTTTATAAATACTAACTCACTTAATTTTCATAATAACTCTGCACATAATAATTATGTTATTATTATTTTTATTATATATGTGTGTAATATATATAATATAATATATTATTATTATTATTTCCATTTTGATGATGTGGAAACTAATACACAGGGAGATTAGTAACATTTCCAAGATCATGCAGCTACCTACTGGTAGTTTTAAACCCAGGGCATCTGGCTGAGGGTTTGTTCTCTTAGCCAATAAGCCTTACTCTTTTGGGTGCCCATGGCCTATTATTTTGTGGTGTTTGTGGACTGATTGGCCTGCTATACTGAGATAGAAAGGTAGTTTAACAGGATGAAAGATTTATTATTAATGTTTTGAAAATGCAACTGTGCTGGCATTTTTTTTTTTTTTTGCTAGCCATTGAACAATGTATTTTTTAATTTTTATTTTGTTTAGAGTTTTTATTTACTTATTTGAGAGACAGAGAGAATGAGAGGGAAAACCAGACTCCCCACGGAGCTGGGAGCCAGATGTGAGACTCAGTCCCAGGACTCTGGGATCATGACCTGAGCAGAAGGCAGTCAGTCGCTTAACCAAGTGAGCCACCCAGGTGCCCAACAATGTCCTTATTATAATGCATCTTTCTATAAGGTGACTGCCTAATGGAAAGTCAGACATACTCTTTTTGGATAAGGAGATGATATCTTTTTGTGGAATTGTGTCAAATATTTGGGTGGATGATAAGTACCACATATAGTAGATTTATTTGAAAATTATAATACATAGAATACAAAGTAGATCTTTTATTTTTTATATTATGCTCTACTTACCTCCTCTGTAATAATTTCACTAGCTATAGAATATCCTTCATTTGTACTTTGGAAAGAATAAGGTATTTGCACTATGCTCAGCTTTATCACGGTACAAAAAACAATCCTCAGGGTTATCCTAATTATTGGTACTTATTGGTAAGTGAAACTATTTTAGTACTGATAACTTAGAATTTATTATATAAATAATTACAAGTTCATATTGTAAACGGGGACATATAGTTGCTATAGTTAATTTAAGCAAATTTTTTCTTTTTTTTAAACAAAATTTTACTTTTCTTTTGGTGAATTCATGACTTTTATAAATATGATTGACTAATCAGGATGTTTGGACTCATTAAAAGAGATAGAATCCTCTTTACCTTTATGTCCCTGACACCTGGCAAGCACTGTGTGTGGCTAGCAAGTGTTGAAGAATGAATGATGACTTATTCTCAGTTTAGGGTTTCACGCTCTACCGGAGAGTTCTAGCTGGATCTGGAAACTCTCTATTCTGGTGGCACAGTTGAATCACCCAAGAAGCTTTGAAAACTCCTAAGGCCCAGGCCTGACTGTGTTCAAAGTTCTCATCATGTTGAGCTGCCACTATAATCAAAGGAGACTAAAAATACATAGGTAACCGTAAGATATGACAGGCGATGTTACAAGCTATGAAGTGAAATAAAGCAGCATCAGGTAGCGAGAATAAATGTTTTAAGTCAAAGATGTTTAAATCTTGGGAAACTACATTGGCTTGGCTACCATGGTAATTATTTGTTTGGGAAAAAAACTCATTCCCTTTATTCGGCCTCCATCTACCCCTTTCCCACATTTTGTTACTTTCTTTATTGTTACCCTCACGGGTTCTGTGCTTCTGTTTCCATAGCTTCCAGCCATTAACTTCGATAGTGCCCAAAATAGCATGACGAAGACCGAGCATGCCATCAAGGTGGGTGGACACAGAGCCCGAGGTCAGTGGCATGAGTCCACAGAAGCTGTTGAACTTGAAAATTTTAGGTAAGAATGCAGTATCTCCCTTGTTTTCAGCAGCCTATTCTAATTAGCTCAAAACTTTGTCACAGGAGCTAAACTTTAAAGCTATTTCAAAATTTATCATGAGGATTCTTAACTTAATAATTTTCATTATGCTTAAATCATTTCCAGAATAGTGTGTAAATACAGCTTAATGACTGCAGCCGGAGCCGACCTGGGTGTTTAAGGACACCTTGCTGCCATACCTTTGGCACTTGTTCCATGAGAAAGAAGTTCCAGGTTGTTGACCTGGCCTGGCTAATTCCAGGCTTTGTCTTCAGCCTTTGGCCTGTCCATACGCTGCCAGCAGTGAGGAGGCATAAAAGAAGCCATTGCTATGAACAGATGTGGTGGCAAAGGACTGGGATTGTCAAAGCAACCGAGGTTTTCAGTTGAAGGGATTGCACCTCACCTTTAACATGGAAACCGTCAATCCATGTTCCTCTCTCCTGTCACCATTTAGATCTCCTAGAAGTTGCATGTTCTGTGGGCCACTCCCCTTCCAGGAGCTGGTTCTCTCAGTTTTACAATGTGCTGACTTCATTTGGCACAAAGTGCCATGTAAATAATGAATGGCATGAAATATCAAGATGAATATTCTAGAATGATCATTTATTTATTTGGTCTAGACTTTGTCTCCCTGTCATTTTATGACAATGAATTTAATATTCCACAAAATCACATGACGTTACACAGCTTCGATTTAGTGAGGAACACTAAATTCTTCAAAAATTCTTACACAGTCAGTCTACTTGTATCCAGGTACTAAGAATGCATTACAGCCCTCACCTGGCTAAGGTAGGGACACACTGTCCAATGACATCTGAAAGACTGCAAAGGCAGAACAGTTCAAATGGTAAGACCATAGAACTTGCCTTTGAGGTGATACACTCATGTAGTTCCAGCTTATTTGGCCCAGATTTTAACCTGATCTATTTTAATTTCCATAAAAATAGTATAATCATATATTTTATAACGATGTCACCATTTTGTGCATTATTTCTATCCTCTCCCAGTTTTAAAGTGGACTGTTTGGCAGTATTTGTAACCTCTTTAATTGGCTATATCAGAAGAAAGAAGCTGAAGATAGGATACCTCCAGACTTGGTTAAGCACACATGTACACACACACAGACACATACACATACACAGCAACCAATCAGCAACCACAACAATAGGAACTTTCACGGTTGAAAGAGTTTAGGCTGTGTTTGATAAATCCATATTACCCACAAGGAGATATGTATGGTAAGCACTGGTGTTAATAGCTATAGCAGCCAATGGGGTTGTGGGTGCAAAAATGAAGGGAAGAATTGTTTATAAACTGCCTCATGCACAATGTCTAGATAATATGTCCTCATCATTCTTTCTCTTCATATCCACTTTTACCCCCCTCCAAACAAGTTTAGCTATGAAGTATTTATGAGTATTTATAATTTAGTTAAATGATGAAATTAAGTATATATGCTCAGTTATAATATTCATTATAATTATAATTGACTTTCTAGTTCCTTTTTTCTTTAATTCTTTCTTTGACAGACAGAGATCACAAGTAGGCAGAGAGGCAGGCAGAGAGAGAGAGAAGGAAGCAGGCTCCCCACTAAGCTGAGACCCCGATGCAGAGCTCGATCCCTGCACCCTGAGATCATGACCTGAGTGGAAGGCAGAGGCTTAACCCACTGAGCCACCCAGATGCCCCTGTAGTTCCTTTTTTAACAGTTGATATGTGCCTTTAGCAATATGTTAAACCCCAAGAATTTTTCAATATCTACATGAATACAGATGGTCTGTACTTGGAAACTTTGCATTGGGAACTTTGAGGCGGGCTAAAAGATTTCTATTACAAAATGCTTTTCTGTTGGTTCCTTATCAGTATAAACTACAAGAATGAGAGAAACTTCAGCAAACATCCCCAGCATAAACTATTTCAGGAGATCTTTACAGCCTTGGTGAGAAATAGACTCATCTGCAGGTAAGATTCTTCCAGAAAAGACCAACAATTTACCCAAGAATGGCATATCTTATACATCTTATTTCTAGTATATGGTTTGAAGCAGTTTGTGATATTGAGCACATCATACTTAAAAGATAAAATAGAGGAAATATCATAAATAGGCATAAATAAATGATAACTCATAAATAAATGATAAAATGAGCAAATGAATAGGCATTGCAGGTGAGTTCATTAAAATTACTCTGGTTAAGTGTTGCATTTAGCCAAATTTTATGGCATTAAGGTAAAATGGTATGACCCACATTATACTGTTTTTCTTATTATTCTTACTTTGAATTTGGATACTCAGAAGGAGTTTATTGCCAGGGTTCTTATGAAACAGACATTGGGTAACCCCATGGCCAGCATCCTCTTGGTACACTTTTGTGGTACCAAGTTAAATGGGCTGCCCCAGCCTTGACCCTGGGAAAAGGATGAAAGTGTAACCTCCAGTCATGGCCCAATGACAATGTTTCCTCTCAGCACCAGGTCAAATGTTCTCTCCATTGCTCTTCTTTGTCTTAACACAAGAGCAGTGTTGGGACTTTAGAGAAGGATTTGTAAGACCTGTAGGCTCTGTCTCACAAACAGGTCTTTCAATGAACCGTTGACTAGTGCTGGATTGCAGTCAGGACTGAATTTTCTATCCATTTGGGCTTCTTGAAGTGAGAGCTGGTTACAGTGCTGCCTGATATGAAGGTGGCCCCTAGCATTATGTCATGGTGGGACCCAGCCTTCTACTCTTCCCTGGAGGCCCAGGCTCTCTCCTCAAGCATCAGCTGAAAAGATGCCTATAAAGAACCTTGAATCTTCCCCATTGCTTTGGGACTTGATTGAGATATCTGAATTCTTCCCCAGTGAGATGGGAAAAAAATTACTCCTATTCTGGAAGATAGGAGAAATATAAATAATTTCATGCCTGACCATGTGACTCAGTTCAGTGCAATAGCTGACTTTAAGGAGAGCAGTATCTCGGTGGATCCTCCATGATGAATCAGCACTAAATATGCCTGAGTGGTAGTCTTGTGATTTGACCTTTTGAAGGGGGTTATTTAGTATTATTATGTATGTAAGTATTGGACAGTGGCTGCCAAATACATTGGTTTAGTTTAAAGCAATGAAGGATTGGGACTGCATCTGTTATGCCTTTGTACTTGATTTAGGCAGAGGATTATTAGACTGACTCAGAATACGAAAAGCCTAAAATCTTTGTCATGGTTATGGAATTGGGTCTCTGCTTAGTTCTTGACAATATACTCAAAGATTGTTGAAAAATTAATGAACACTGCTACAAAGGACATGAAGTTGTCCCTGACTGTTTTCTTCTTGAGCTTGAACAGAGTAGGACAATGGTTAGTAGCAGAATAATTATGCCCGAAATGGTATTAGGCAATGATGTTCTTTAATTTGTTTTGAAGATGACTACCATCAGCTCTTCAGGGGATGTCCAATAGACCCTTTATCAGGTCACTGCTTTGAGGAAGGCAGAGCATTTCCTATATTAAAGATGTGAGAGATGTCACTGTGTCCCCAGCCTGAGGGCACTAGAGGCAGAAATTGTTAGGGAAACTGATTGGGCAAGGGTTGGCATCCAACAGTTGAAAAGATCTTAACAATTCTGAAGTTAAGAGATCTCTTGTCAGAACCTTTTCAAATTCTTCATGATTAATGAGGCTTCTTAGATTGGATGGAATTACTGGCTTGCAACATGAGTAGTCCCTGGAAATCTTCAAACTAGGAAGAGATGATTATAGATCTCTTTGCTTTCATAGTAGGAGAAGGAATTTAGGAATGCTGAACATCAAGGGCATCCTTTTACGTCATCCTCTGGCTGCTGACAGACTGTTACGTTCAGTTCTATTCTAAAAGCAGGGTTAGGTCAAAGATGGCTTAAGTGTAAAGGTCTTCTATTGTTTCTCACCCTGTATGACCTTGCTAAGATAGCCAGAATTACCTTTTCTCCTCCTTTTCCACCTAAATTTAGACTTACAGAAGAACTATATCTTGGGGCCTTTTCTGGTATAGCTTCCTATCCTTTTCTTTGCAAACATCAGATTTAATGTTGGCTGGAAAGCTTGGATTCAATTCAGTAATTTAATTTTTGAATATCTACTGTGCATAGAGAAGGGAGGGAATAAACAATGGGAAAGGAAAAGAGGGTAAAAATACAAAGATGAATAGGACACATGATCCCCTTTCTTCTAGGGACTCAACATCTACTCTGGTCAGCAAAACAGTTACCCAGTATCCCAATACAATGGAAAATATGGTGGATATAAACTATTTATATTATGACAACTAAATACTGGGGAAGTTGAAGGACTGCGGACTTTGATCTTTGGTCTGGTTCAGGCTATAGATGAGATTGGGCATATTCAGGATGCTATGCCTTCAGTTTTACCCTGAAGATACGGCTGATTGGGAATTTTGTCTCATGTGTAGAATGTGAGCCCTTCCAGGTTGTCAGTCAGTTTATGGCTGAGTGATGCTGTTCTCATTCTTTTTTTTTTTTTTTCTCTTTCTTAATCTATTTCATTCTCCCCAACTGTAATCTTCCCCTAAACCACACTTCTGGATACCTCCTTTCTGGGTGCCTTTCCTAAGATTGACCTGTGATTACTCCCTTGTTCTCAGAAATGAAATCGCCAGGTGGCATCTGAAATGAGACAGGACTTGTTAATCCAGGGTCAGATAAGGTAACACTGTAAGCTGCAAACACCTTATGGTCAATCTCAAAGGGCAAGTGAAAATATCGTGTCTGAAGCTGAGGTTACTTCTGGTTACTCATGGTCGTGAATCTTGATGTGTGGCAGAGTATGGAAGAAAATTTTGTATTCTTCCAACTTTCCTTTCTCCCATAAGGTCATTTGTGTGTAGGAAGTCTACTGTTAGAAAATAAATCCACCCCCCTTCCATTTCATCTGCCTGTCCAGAGAAGTACAAAGAGAGCTTAGTATCCAAGACTAGGTTGTTACGAGGGTGTATAGGGAAGTAAAACTTGTCACAAAATTGACATATCCTCTAATTAACTCCTTATAAAATTGACCTCTACTCAGATATCTCTTCTGTGTATCTGTTCCTCTGAGCTCCCTCTTTGTTGGTCCATTCCTTGCTGACTGCCAGACAAGGTGCAGATCCTGTAACACAGTACAAATATAACATAATCTATCTGTGAAATGAACTTGAAAATCTGAATATATAGAATATATTCCATATATATGGAAATATATATGTATCTATATATATATATATAGAATATATATAGAATTTCCTGAAGATACTAACAGTGATGGTGGTGAACTGTTGGAACCCAACAAATGAGGCATTGGCAGAATGAGACAATTGAAGAAGAGAATTGGATCATGTTACATGATTGGTCAGAAAAAGTGTGCCCCCAGATGTCAGCAGCATCCATTCTTGCTTTGTTCTAGTTATTAGGGCAGAGTTGCAATTATAACTGAAATTTTGCTAAATGTAAAATTAAATAGATCTCAGTTTCATAGTTTACATTTTAAGATCATGTTTTCATTAAGTCATGTCCCCTCCTATTTAATATGAAATTTGGTGTTATTTAAAGTGAGTTCACTTAACTGGTCTCTTCCTGGTACGATTATCCCACAATTGCCAGGATATCTTCTCCTTCCTTGCCTGTAACTTTTGTAGACATAAGTATATACAAGGTTTTCAAATTTCAGTTAAAAGAGAGCCACCTGACCCATTTAGCATGACCTTTTTGGTCTAAAAATGCAGTCACTTTTCTAGTAAGAACAAGTTGGTGTCCTTACTATTTTACATCCCATTTTCAGAAATATCTACTATAAACTGGCATATTTTGGAAATGCATCTGTTAGAAGTCTGGATTGGGAAGATATTTATTTATACTCCACACAAGAGCTTAAGAACTTCTTGAGTTGGGGGTGCCTGGGTGGCACAGTTAGGCATCTGACTCCTGATTTCGGCTCAGGTCTGATATCACGGTTGTGAGATAGAGCCCCACATCAGGCTCAGCATAGAATCTGCTTGGGTTTCTCTCTCCCTCTCTCTCTGCCCCTCCTCCCCAAAATAATAAATCTAAAAAAAAAAAACAAAAAAACCCTTGAGACAGGGAAAGCATCTGGCAGAGACTTCACAATTTAGAAATGTTATTCAGAGTGTCCTGGGGCCTTCACAGGAGCTTCTAACCAACAGGACCTACGCAGTTATTTGTTTACCAGACAGACTTTTGCTGTCCATGTCCAAGCTAGGCCTAGGTCACGATGCAATTGACTCTTCTTTGAGCTTTACTTGAACTTCAGCACTGGCTCTCCAGATCCTATCTGGGGAGGTGAGAGGAAAGGACTGGAAGCGATCTCTTGATTTAGTTCTTGAAATGTACAAAGTTGATAGATGCTTTTTCTGTGATTTTCTTGCATCAGGTAGCAGACAGGTCAATAGGGGCCTTTAAAGATTCCTCCTTGCCTGGGAAAAAGGAAGCCTGGTCACTTTGGTAAAGTCTGGCCATCCTCTAAGGACCGGAGTAAAACTCCAGTTCCCTAGTGGTTCACAAAGCCCTTTGAGATCTTGTTCCGCTTGGCCTCATATTTTGCTCCTGCCTCGTGCATCCATGGGGCTCACCACGGTCACAGCAAGCCCCTGATTATTCCCTGGAGAGTGATTTTCTCTCACCTCTGAGCCTCTGTCCATGCTAATGCTCACTGTAAGCCTGCTGCTCCCACGTCTTTGTCTTCCTCGCTGTTCTGGCCCCTCAGCTGTCCTTCCGTCTCATGGCCCTGGGCCCCTGTTCCTCTCTCCCATACACTGAACTCCCAGTGGACAGGGCTTGGGTGTTTTATTTCCAGCTCAAGCCATTGTCACTGGTTTTATTGGAGAGCATGGGTTCTGAGAGAGTCTTCCTGTAGTGAAATTTCTCCATATTAAATTATTTTGAGCACCATAAAATAATGTAAGGATACAGGAAATGATAAAAAATGAAAAATTAC